AGGTGCGGTTTGGTCTCCAATGATCCAACAGACTCAACACGGCCAAGGGCCATCTGAGCACAGAAGAAATGGAAGGATGTTGTCGTACAACAAAGCATGCATAGTCATGACAACGGGCCTGTCCCAACCACCTACCCTCTGGGAATGGAGTTTCTGTATCGATTCAAAAAAAAAAAAAAGTTTCATCCTTCACATGATGCTTTATAAAATGGCTTTACAATGAGTATCTGGAAAATAGATGCACTGAACAGAGACGATCCCATTTGTTTACTACATATAAAAAAGCAGTTGTACCTACATGGGAAGCAGGGAACGGTATGGTGAGGCTGGAGAGCCTTAAGACATCGTTGACCTATGACAAGTGACCTTGTAGCGTGCCGACGTTCCGTAAGGCAGATTGAGGGCCACAAGGCAGTTGGGTGGTCAGGAAAGTTCCTCCTCCTCCTGCTGACTGTCGTGACAAGGTCTCTGCATGCAAACGGTGTGAGGGGCTCTACTCGGCGGGGGCCGCCGGCGCTTCGTTCACGTCGCTGCCTTTGCTCTCCGCGTCGTCGTCCGAGAGCTCCAGAGAGGCCCCTTCGATGTGCAGCTGACGCCTCCCGGATCGGCTGGAGGAGAAGGTGATGGGGCCGCCCCTCCTGTGAACCAGCAGCAGACGGTGGGCGCTGTGGGCCACCTCTCGCTCACAGCCCAGCCCCGGCCGTGCCCTGGGCAGGGCTGCCTGCTGGACCGCGGGAACAACGCGGCAGCTCAGCACCGGCCGCCCCCGGGGCGAGATTCACACCCCCCCTCGGAGCACGGAGCCACACGCTGTGCACAACCCGCTCTGGCACCCCCTGTTCCTGCCTCGTTTATCCATCACCTTTACTGGCAAGTCCCAATAACTTCAACCACTGTCTGCACAAGCGCCAAGCGCGGACCAAGCACTAACCAGAGTGGGTTCCCTAAAAACCACGACTGCTGGTTTGTGAGGCGCTGCGCTGCGCCCTCCGGCCATTCCCCCAATCCAGCCAGCTCAGCCTCTCCGTACCTCTGCAGACAGTTTGTTCTGCACCAGCCTCACCTTCACTGACTCCCACCTGTTCTCCATACAGACCTTCATCTCAGAGCTCGGCTCGCAAGGACAGTGCCCAAACACTCCCACCAGGGCAGGGCAGGAAAAAAGGGATCAGTACCAGCCACTGGAAAAGGATGACTGAGCCGTCCCCTCTGTCACATGAACCTGCCCATGTGAGCTCTGCAGAGTTCAGGCTCAAGAGTTGTCAGGAACATCCCTGCTGTCCGGCAGCTCCCTGGTTACCACCATCAGGCTCAGTCAGCAGTTCCCAGCAGGCTCCAGTTTGACCCATCCCCTAATGTCAGCAGCTCTGTTTCTGCAGAGCCACAGCCGGATGCTCCCCAAGGATGCGCTACGGAGACTGTGGGCACACAAGGGCTTCGATGAACCTTTGCCCGCTGCTGCTGGCACCACTTACCTTAGCCTGTTCTTCAGGGTGCTGACCTCGCGGCTCAGACCCTCGTTGGCCTCCGTGGCATCGTCCAGCTCGCGCTGAAGTTTACGCCGGGAAGCATTTGCACGTGTGGCTTCTTCTTCAGCCTCCTCCAGCTGCCGTTTGAGCTGCTTCATCCTGGCATTTGCCTTTTCCATCTAAAATACAACAGCAGGTAGTCAGGATCAGGCTCAGCAGCTCCAACCCCACGATCTGGGAGGTCAGAGAGGTTCACTAAAACCCTGTCCTCCCCGACCACCCCGGCTGGAGATGAACCATCAGCCTCACTGCAGAC